TTTGCCTTAGCCTGTCCGGGAAGGAGGTTCACAGAACCAGAGTCCCCATTGCCCATCCTCTTCCCTGAGGGCAGCGTTAACATTTTTGTCACAGCTGACTGTCACAATAGAATCAGGCCCATCTGAAGGGAGGAATGTAAAACACATAAACCTGTCACGAAAGGGATGTCGGTGAAATTCTAGTTTTTAAGAGTAAAATGTGTGGGCCTTCTTATTTCTCCTGGGTATAATGTCAGAAGGTGTGTATGTTAAGGACACAAAAGGTATATAAGAAGGTTGAGTCATTCTGGGCGAGCCTTGGGAAGCGCACTGCGTGTCTGTTCCTGCTTATGCCCCCCCCCACTTTTGCCTATGGTCCATTTAGCAATGGCTTCACCTCCTCTTCTGTGGGTCTTCAAGCGAGGATGCTCAGGCTGTGTTCTCCAAATCCGGTTTGTCTGGTTTGAATTCCAGGCCTGCTGTGCTCTCGCCAGCCATAACCTGGAGTAAGTAAGTGACTTCACTTCTCTGTGCTTCTGGGGCGGTCCTTCTTGACTCTATAGAACCGCTATAGGATTGGGTAGAGTGTGTGGATAGTGCCCTGCGTGCAGAAGGCACCCAGCGGTGTGAGTCATGATTAGCACTTTGTGGTGGCCCTCCTTCCTCTCTGAACCCCTCTGTCATCACACAGTGTGATACTTTGTAAATTTCCCCTAAAGGATCATTTTTAGCCCCAGTCATATTTCTGGTACTCTCATGTATCGCTTAAGAAATAAGACCCAAGAGGCAAATACATGACAACACCGTTACCACTACCCCACCACCATCAAGGTAACTGAGCTCCCAGTCAGCATCCCCAACACCCTGTGTTCAATACTGATGGCCAGTATGTACAAAAACCTCTGACACCACCATTGTTGAGTCTTAGCATGTGTACAGTTGTAACAAGCCCCTGTGTCTGTTTTATAAGACCACACTTAAACAAAGAAGAGCTAAGGCTGTCAGAAAAGGTTAAAGATTTTGAAACGACTTTGATGAACATAATCTACAAACTAGACCCTTACATTGGTACTTCTCAGATGAAAATGACATTAGAACCGTGATCATGGTACACTCGTTTTTTTTTTTTTTCCCTCTCCGTCGTGGTCAGCAGTTTGCTGGAGAGTTGTAGACACTGTCTGTGACTTCCTGATTTCATAACAGCCCCCAAGTGTCCTGCTGACACCACAGAAACCTACCAATTGTTGAGAAAACAGCTTATACAGTGAAGTCCTATAGCTTGGTTTTCAAGTCAATTAGATGATAGCAGGGCAAGAAAAACGAGAAAAAAGAAAAGCCAGCATTTCAAGGGTTTTATGGAAGTGAACCTTTTATTTGAAAAAATCAATACTGAATGTTTATTAATTAGTACTTAACACAAACTGTAGTGATTTCTTCCATTAGTGTGTGTTTATCAAACATTTGCTGTGCACTGTATTTATGGGCTGAAATATGGTGGTGAATAAGATGTAACTACTTCTCTTGGGACGTAAGCTAGGGAAAGTCTGTGTTCTAGAACCTTCTATGATGATGGAAAAAGTCTGTTCAATACTGTAGCCAGTTACCACCTAAGGTCACCAAATACCCTAAATGTGACTTTGAGAAGGAATTTCAAATTTATTTAATTTTAACTAATTTTAATCCAAATAGCATCCATGGCTGATGGCTACCACACCAGGCAGGTTGGTCCCAGGATCGGTCACTGTGAGTATCAAATTTTCCAGAGCCACCCAGTCAGAGTGATTTGGAGAAGGCCCCAAGATCCCGTGGGACTGCTGATCCATTCCCCCAGAAATTTTAAAAGTCTTTCTCAATAAAACACATGTGTGGCTTAGCCACAAGTCCAACTTGAGGGAGGAACCCTGGTTTGGTCCAGCCCAGTCTGGCATCCTTGAGGCCTGTTTATTACTTTAGACTCCTCTTGTCACCCCAAGGGAGAGTCACTTGGCATGCCGCCTTAGGAGAAAGGGGTAGAACAGTGTGAGGATTACCACGACGCCCCCACCTGGTCCTCACTCCCTGGTGTATGTATGCACATGTACTACACACAGACACGCAAACATGTGGCACTCTGCTGTCTGCACGGAGAAGAGTACCTTCCTGAAATGCCGACATGTCAACAGCTTTGGGCATACGTCCCCATGGACTTGGCTCTGCACCTTCATTCTCTCTCTTAACCAGCTGCTCTTCGGAATTCGTCCTGACTGGTTTGTATCCTCGGCAGAGAGAAGCAAACAGGAACCCCCCACATGCCCCTAGGTCTGTTCTGGATACCCGAGGCACCCAGTGGGACCTGGAGAGGCAGCGCTCCAGCGTCCCAGTGAAAGGCCATGTGGCACGGGAAAGGTATGGGTTGAGGAGCTATGGGTCCGGCATGGAGCTGGGGGTACCCTCAGTAAGCCACTCCCATTTCTGGAGTTTTGATTTTTTTTTCCTCCACCAGCCTAAAGAGCCATGTCAGACTCAGGCTTGTTCTAGTTTCCTTTATGTTGCTGTGATAAAACACCTTAGCCAAAAACAACTTAGGGAGGAAAGGATTTGTTTTCGCATGCAGGTTGCGGCCCATCATTGGGGAAAGCCTGGGCAGAAACTCGAGGCGTAAGCCATGGAGGAACCTACTGGTTGCTGGCTCACTCACAAGTTCATGCTTTCTCGAGCTGCCCAGGACCACCTGCCTAGACAATGGTGCTGCCGGCAGTGGGCTGGGCCCTCTCACATCACTGAACAATTAAGACGATCCCCTAAAGACATGCCCGCATTAGACCAAGCTCATCCCTCAGTTGAGACTCTCTCCTCACTTAACTCTAAGTTATGTGTCAGGTTGACGGGACAAGGCCAAAGATAAGACAGCCAAGAACAGCTCCAAGCCATTCTTATTTTCTCCTATATTGTCTAAGTAGATCCAGGAGAGTATAGTCAGGAGTTTCTGTCCGGCCAGCAAGTCCCCAATAAACACACTGAGGCATATTACTTATAAAGGCTTGGCCAATAGCTCAGGCTTATTACTAAGTAGGTCTTACATTTTAAATTAACCCATGTTCCTAATTTACACTCTGCCACGTGGTGGTTGGTTCCTTGATTAGCATGGCACATTCAGTTACTGTTCCCTCTACTTATGGTTGATATCTCCTGACTCCGCCCTTCTCCTCCCCATCATCTTTAGTCGCCCTACCTACTGACTGGCCAATCAGCATTTTGTTTTGTTTTGGTTTTGGTTTTTCGAGACAGGGTTTCTCTGTATTGTTTTGGAGGCTGTCCTGGAACTCGCTCTGTAGACCAGGCTGGCCTCGAACTCACAGAGATCCTCTGCCTCCTGAGTGCTGGGATTAAAGGCGCGTGCCACCAATACCTGGTCCAAGCAGCATTTTTATTAGACCAAGTTGAGTGACAAATCTTTACAGTGTACAAGAGTGTTTGTTCCCTAGCAGGAGAGAGCTATCTTCTTTTCCAGGAGCCACTGGACCGGGCTCTTTACAGCATCCCTCACAGTCGTCTACTTGGAATGGGATCAATATGGGTATCAACGAAAAAGGTCACGGTTGATTTTTTCACTGAGGCTCTGTGTGTGTGCACGTGTGTGTGTGCGTGCGCGCACGCGCGCACTTGTGTGTCTATGGGTAGCAGAAGTATGCTGATGGTATGTATAATTCCATTTGGTGAACTTGTGTCACACAGGGCACAGCCTTTGTCAGGCCCGCCCTGACGGCTTCTCCAGTCACCTCTTAGCTGGTTCTTGGGTTGCGTTCTCACCTGGATGACAGAAAGGAGCAAAAATATCTCCATCCCTAGGTCTGCCGTTTTGCTTGTGGTCACTGCTGTTCTTAGGAGAAAGAAGTGACATCAAGCCCTGGGAGCACATGGCTTCTTCCAGCTCTGAGGAAAAGGACACAGAGCACTGGAGAACGTGGACTCTGAGGGACAGCACAGAGAATCGTGGTGAAGGTGACTTCCCTGTGGAGGCCCACAGAAGTGGCTCCGTCCTGTCTTGACTTGAGGTCAGGGAGTCTGAGCCTGTTGTCCCTGAGTCTTTCAGGTTAAATCAGTGTGTTTAGCCCAAGGTGCTGTTACTGTGTGCCTTGCTTAGACCACAGGATATTCGGCCTATAAGGTATTGCTAATGGCTGTCTTACCTAAACGTCAGGTATTTGGTTAGGGGTGTGGTTGCTTGGTGTTTGGGGAGTGTTGGGGGGGGTAATTACACCTGTTTGTCCCTTGTAGCATGTTAAGGGGGTCTTTCCCCTTCCCCCTTTTGATTGGGGGTATGTAAGGACTTTGAGTAATAAACTTGGGGCTGATCACAGTATTGCTGGATGCCCGCCCAACTCTGTCTCTCATCTCTAGTCTATCTCTTTCCTCAGTCCACACTCCTACTGTCAAGCACAGACCAGACAAGCCCATTAGACCACACAGTTCCCCTGTCCACCCCAGCCACCGGCAGCAAATAGCCTGAGCCCCTCAGCCACCAGAACACATACTGGAGCTTTCAGCTGCTCTCCACAGAGGAAGAAAAGCAAGGGGAAGACCAAGCTGCTTTCCTCAGGCCCCACTGGGGGCGGGTGGAGCGACGCAGACTCACAGGCCTCTCCACTGACCCTCGAGGATGGTACAGCCGGGAACCATACTCCCCAGACAAATCCCTTGGGAGTGTCATTGGGAGGCAGAGAAGCACCAGAGCGTGGCCCTCCCAACAAGCCCACTTTGTGTCAGGAGGCAAACTCTGGGGTTGGGGGAGGGTGGCAGGCTGGGACAGTGTGCCAGGATGGGCCAGAAGTCCTGTCCATTTGCCCCACACTGCGGTGAGCTGGGTGGATGACGGGCCCCTGGGTCCTCAGATTCCTCTTTGCCTCCTCGAGGGATCAGAGGACAGATGGATTTCAGAGCCCAGGAACCCATCCTGCAGCTGGTTTCAGGCAGTTTTCCCTCGATGGTAATTTATTTCCTCACTGGAGTGGCTTGGTTTCTTATTGACGAGATTTGAAATATCCACACATACAAATTTGTTTATTTTCCACGTTCTATACACAGATACGCGTTTTACACTGGCAACAGTCTAGATCACAGAAAGTGAAATGCAGTCACTATCTCCTCTGCGTGCCAAAGGTCTTTACTAATCTAAACCCGTACGCACGGCAGAGGTTGGGGAATTTTCTAGAGCTGAGTATCACCGAACTTTCAAAGCCTTCGTTACTTTTTTTCCACGTGAAAGGACAGCCTGCTGAGAAGTATTTTCTATCCCCCTACCCTGGCACCAACACTCCCCAAGTTGATTAGTGTTCAGCCGACTGACTCTTCCTGCTCTCCTGCTTATTAAACGGCCTCTGATTCTTTTGAACTCACAGGACTAATTTGGCAATAAACCAATCAATCAAGAACATGGTTTCCTGTTCATTTTCAGAGTGAGCAGATCTTGGATGGATATGGTACCAAACTTCCTTAGCTTCCAAAGTAGTTACTGTGTCTTTAAGAAAGCAGGTGTACTGAGACAGAGGTCACTCTGCCTGGCCTGAAGGCCCCAGGGCTTCTGAGTCACAGGAAGTGTCTGGGAGGGCAGCCACAGACTTTCATCTCTCTCTCTCTCTCTCTCTCTCTCTCTCTCTCTCTCTCTCTCTCTCCTCTCCTGGAATGAGTAATTCTAACTGGATATTCCTAACAAAGAGGAAGCACACAGTGCTATTAATTAGACTAGAGATGTGCTGAATCCATGTCTGAGACAAAGTCTCAGATAAGGCCTTCCATTTTAACTCTGCTCCTTAGTCATTATCGAGTGTGACCTCAATGCAAACAGCTAGAGAGGGGCCAGTGACCCCCATGGTTAAGACAGTTCAGGATGCTGCCTTGTCCCCAATCATAGGACTATGCAAGATCCAGGGCTCCATCCTCCTTCTGCCACGGCCTGATGCAGCCTACTCTCCAGTCGCCTCCTTCTGGCTCTTTTTGATGGCCGGACTCCTCTTCGGTGTCCTTTCCAGGCCTGGAGCATCCTGCTGGGCAGACTCAACCAAATGGTGTCTTAGGGGGCACGCACAGACGGAAGCGTGGAACTTCTCTGAACTTGGGATCCGGCCAATGGAGAGTTTCACTTTCTAAGACACAAGACGGGAGACAATCAAATACTGAAGATTTTCCTTAGGATCCCATCCTTCAAACCCCCCGGGGGTGGGGGATTCGTTCTGGAAGACAATCCTATGATGAGCTACGATGAGCCAAAGGCAGCAGCTGAGCTGATGATCTGTGCCCTCAAGGGGAACATGGGCTTTCATTTTCTGACATCCACTGGCCTACGCCTCTAGGCAGGTCCTAAAAAAAGTGCCGATGGCTCACTCACTGTGATGGCTAGTGTTGTGTTAGCTTGACACAAGCTGGAGTCATTATGGAAGAGGGAACCTCAGTTAGGAAATGCCCCCCCCCACTAGATTGGCCGGTGGACAAGTCCGTGGTACATTTCCTTGACTGACTATTGATGTGTAAGAGCCCGGATCACTGTGGGTGTTGACATCCCAGGGTCAGTGGTCCTGGGTGCTGTAAGAAAGCAGGATGTGTCCGTCATTAGGAGAAACCTTGTCACTAGCACTCCTCCTTGGCCTCTGAAGCAGTACCTGCCCTAACGTCCTTTGGTGGTGGACCGTGGTAAGGAGGCATAAGAGAAGCAAACCCTTTCCTTCCCAGGTTGCTTTGGTCATGGTGTTTTATCACAGCAACAGGCATCTAACCGGGACAGCCACAGAGGGATCCAGTTGCCCCAGGAACTCAAAGGGCCTCTGGAACCCTGCGCCTCCAAAGGAGACCACCCTACAGGAAAGCCCCAGACAAAAGCAGGAGGAAATGGAAATTTGACCTCACTTCTTACCCCTCTAAACACAAACACATACACATCATCCCCTCTGCCTCTGAAAGGTTGTCACATTTCACGCTGGCTGTCTCTGGCCCATCCCTATGCCTGCTCCCATTTCTCTCCACCACGGCTAAAGCAGAGGGATTGGCTCAGACATGCGAGGCACAGGGGATGCCCTTCCTGTCACATGTCCTTTTCCAACTTATTTGTCATTTCGAGAGCCAGGAGTCTGCATTGTAGAAGAGAGCTGGCTATATTTTTTTTTCACATAAAAGCAAGTAGTTAGGAGTGGTGGGGAAGGAGGAGAAGTTTCTGTCCTTCTAGCCCGGTGGCTCTCTTCAACCTTCCTGATGCTGTACGACCCCTTCGTTACAGTTAGTTTCTCATGTTGGGGTGACCCCGCAACCATAAAACTATTTTCATTGCTACTTCATAACTGTAATTTTGCTACTGCTATGAATGATGCTGTAAATATCTGGCATGCAGGTTATCTGAAATGCGACCCCCGTGAAAAGGTCACAACGGGGCGGAGACCCACAGGTTGCAAACCGCTGCTCTCTAAACAGTCATGCTGGTGGGTGTCGGCCGCGGTCGGTGCTGTGCAGGAGATGCTCTCAATGGGCGGTGAAGACGCGAGCACAGGAGCGGTGGGGTCTAGAAGGGTAGACATGACAAAGCCCAGGCAGTCCACCCAGGTGGAAGTTTAGGTGTGTGCCCTGTCAAAACCCCTTTTCGTGACTGCTGAGCACATGCGTGGATCTTTGGGTCAGAGTGGGAGTAACTTCTGGAAGGTACACATGGTTTTCTTAGCCCTTTGGCCACAGGGTGGACCTTTGGGAGATGGCATGAATCATAAGTTACCAGACTATTGGACTGTGTCCCTTAACGCAACCTCTTCTCTAACACACAAACTGGTATCAAGGGTCGTACTCTTGAGCCGAATGCCGTCTCCTCTGGGAAACCTGCTGGCTTTCCTCAGAAGGCCGATCTATGCTCCCTCTACACTTCCTGTCACACCCCAAAACACACACTGGACTCTAAGAAGTGCCTCCATCCTTGTTCTACCCTGTGAGCTATGTAAGTGCAGGCTGAGGCCGCTTTTGTAGCCTGAGAACATAACACAGCGCCCAGTGTAGAGTAGAGATATGCTCAATAATAGTGAGGGAGCAAGTGAATGTAGGAGCCCTGGCCCTGCCACTAACTAGCCTTCTGTCTACTTCAGCCACACTCCTGACGGGTCTTACCCTTTTAGATAATAGCAATAATAATAACTTCTCCAACTGGCAGACTTATTGAGTGATGCGGAAGAGACAAGATAAGTCCTTAATATGCATGACCACAGACTCCCAGGGCCAAGAGAGGGGTCTTCAGTGTTGCAGTTTGTAGAAATTCCAAAGTCAAGGAACTGTGTTTCCTAAGAATCTTAACATCCAATATTTTGGATGCATCTGTTCTATAAAAGATAAATGCATGTTGCGCTCTTCCTCTCCTTTCTCCCTAGTCATAGCCCAGAGACCCAAGGAGTACAGTTCCAAAAGTACAGGAAGGAACGAGTCCTTGCTGTGCCCCTCACTCTAGAGAGAAGCAGCTAAACACAGAGAAGTCAGTGGCCTCCCCCAAGGCCACCAGGCTAGGAATCAAAGTGGGCTGAGAGGGAATGAGCAACAAGAAGACCATACTAGGCGGGGAGGTCATTTAAATGCGGGTAGCCTTGAAATCAGGTACTCAGTGTTGAACCACCTACGATTACCCAGGGAGGTCAATTAAATGCAGGTAGCCCTTTAAAAGCAGATATTCAATGCTGAACTGCACGTGGTGCTTGTTTTCAGTAATAACTCCATGCAGAAGGCATGGCAATGTCAGGTTTTAGCTGAGAAAACCACATTCAGAAAAGTGAGCCTCTCGATGTCCCATGGCCGAGGCAGGTAGAGGTAAAGTCACAGTAACCGTGTTGCGTGCCTAATCTGTGCCAGTGACTTTGCACGCATGCCACAGCGGGCCACGTCATTCTGCTCTTCAACAACTGGTGCTACTGCCGTCCCTCATTTCACAGCCCACAAGTTCGTCCTAGTCATCGGAGCACTTTCTGCCCCTCGAGGTCAGAAGCCCAGAGCCCCCTTCCCCCAGCCTGGCGCCTTCCCCACGAGCGTTTGATACAAAGGACGGAATCTCATCCACGTTCTGCGTGGTTCCCAGACTCCCTCTCAGACCTTCGCTCCTCCTGGCTCTGACTTGGTCTGGTCAGGGCTGGTTCAGGGGACTCACCTCCTTCTGCATACACCGTGTGAGAAAGAATGACACCTCCTCCAGGCTCTGGGGCTTCAGGTCATTGACGGCCAAGATATGATCTCCATGGCAGAATAAGCACCCGAGTCGGGGAGGGCCTTCCCACTGAGCCACACTGCAGCAGGGAACACAGAGTCCAACAGGAAGATGAGACGGAGCTCATTGGCTCGCCGTGGGGGCAGGAATGGGGCCTGCGGGGTCACCTCACTCTGCACCCCACACTGGAAGTCAACCACCTCCTTCTGCGTGGACTGACTGCCTCCCTGCGACCCCCTTCCCTTCCCTTCCCTCCCCTCCCCTCCCCTCCCCTCCCCTTCCCTTCCCTTCCCTTCCCTTCCAAGCCCTGTTCCAAACAAACCACCCCTGCAAGGCCAAGTCCAGTCCCTTGTTTTTGCTCGTGGCTGACCTCTCCTGTGCCGGGGATGTATAATTATGCACGGTGGGAATACTTCAATCGTAGTTCTGATTAAGATGGACTTTTCATGCTCACTTATTCATGTGGCCCTCCTTTTTAATCTGGCTCTGTGACCCTGGGAGTTCAGAACTACCTTCCGGTTTCCTTAGTTGGTATTTAGAAATTTAGGACTCCACACAGCGCTCAACAAAAGTCTGTCAGAAGTATGCACAAGGCATAGCCCAATGGATACCTAAGTGAGTATGATGAGTGAATGGGCAGACGGGCAAGCTTGGTCACAGACAAGCCCAGGGTCCGAGCAGGAGTTCACAAGTCTCAGACTGCAAAAACTTTAGAAAAATGGAAAGTTACGGGCATTATGGCATTTTCTTTACATTAGAGACTTATCTTGTAAAAATTCAATCTTCCACCAAAATGAATTTAACAGGCTTCTTTGTTTGGAGATGGGGTGAGGGGAGAGGGTCTCATTATGGAGCTAAGGCTGGCCTTACACCTGCTGTGAAGCTCAGGCTGGCCTTGAACCTGATTCTAGGGAACTGAGATTACTGGCCTGTGCCAACATGCCCAGTCACAGTCTAAGAGGATGTAGAATCAGATAAATAGTAACTATGCTTTTTTTTTAAATACCTGCCACACAGACTTTTGTGTTGTGTTTTGGAATAGAGGTTTTGACTGGGTTATGGGACTCTTAGGCCCTCACACACATCTTTTTCTTTCAGCTCCTTTTAACTTTGCCTCTCCCAATTATTCACTCCGTGCCTGGGAACGGTGCCCTTGGCAGCCACTCTCCTTCGAAGAATAGGGAAGACCCTGACTCCTAGCCTTTTGGGTCGTCTTAGATCCCCTCCAAAGCCGACCTCCCGTATAACAATGATCTTTCTGCCCCCCAAGCCATCTCTGGGGCAAGTCCTCGTCAGTCTTGTCCAATGCAGTGTTCCAGAATGAGGGTGTCTTACGCCCGTTCATCTGGTGTCATCCACAGCCCCACCTACCATATCCGTCCTGCAGCTTCTACAAGAGAGAGATAGTTGATGGCATCCCTCGGAGAGAGGAACACGTTCAGAGTCTCCACTTGGCTCTCATCGGGGACGTTGCTGAGACAGAAAACATTTGCTTAAGTTGCATCAAACAACCAACTGCCCCAGGCTCTGAACTATCCTTTTAGAGTGCGTGTTTTGGCCTTCTGTTTCTGGGATGACATTTTCCAGCTAAAACTTGTCCGAAGCGTGAACAAAGAAGCACGAATTTAAGGCAGTGAAGGCCACTCACCGCACCCTTCGCTGCCCTCTTGGAATGTGCTAGATAGTGGTTGACAGATCGTGAGGGAAGACGCAAAACTGGACTAAGTGGGCTTATGACCTCTCGTCAGGTTAGTCTCCATATTCTCCTTCCGGAAATTATTCCGCACAAGAGGACACGGAAAGCAGCTGAAGCTACAGCTGTCTTGTCAAGTGCCCTCGACATCACCTTGGACCTAAGTGTCCCCTTCTCATCTGCTCAGCGCCTCAGGAGGCTTGCCTGCCCGATGACGCTAACGCAAGAGGCTGGTGAGGCACACCGATGCTGGATCAGTGCTGTCCAGGTTTTAGGGCCCAAAGGCCTGGCCGAGGGGAAAGTGTTACAACAGCTGGGAAAGCCACCCCCATCCCTGGGGACCACGCTTCCCCCAACTGTACCATTTACTGCCCACGCTCACAACATCAGTAACACAGAGGAACCTGTCCCGTTCCCAGCTGACTTGGAAATTTTGAGGCACTACTTTGAAATTTAAATATTAAGTGCATTTAAGGCCACCTGTCTTGCTCTTAGGGACCACAAGGTTTTAGAAGTCAGAGCTTTACTTGAGCAATATGGACAATTTCACAACAGTTAGTGAGGCGGGCCCCTTTTGGTCATCCGTGGTTTGTGTTTCCGGATCAGCAGGTAGAACACACAGATAATTTGCTGTGCCGTGTTCTTGCAGGGGAGGCCCCTCCTCTGGACTCTCCAGAGAACTCTGGGATTCGGCTCGGTGGTCAGCAGATGCAGAGGTTGGTTCTTTGAAGAGACTGGAGTAGAAGTTAAACAGGGTCTGTTTAAGCACACACGGTGACAGCTCTCCACTCTACCTGTCAAATATGAGCATCTGACAGCCCTAAGAAGTCTGTTCGATCATCAGAGCCCCACCAGAGGCAGAACCAGACTGAACAAGCTTTCCTTCTAAAACTGGACTTGGAAAGCCAGGAGGTGGTGGTGCACGCCTTTAATCCCAGCACTCGGAAGGCAGAGGCAGGCTGATCTCTGTGAGTTCAAGGCCAGCCTGGTCTACAGAGCGAGTTCCATGACAGCCTCCAAAACAATACAGAGAAACCCAGTCTCGAAAAACCAAACAAAAACAAACAAACAAAAATGGACTTGAAATGGAAATAACCCTTTTCAGAGTTGGGAGGACAGGGTAAGAGTGAGAGAGACAAAAGCAAAAACAAAAAAACAAACAAGCAAACAAACAAACAAAACAGAGGATTTCAGAAGACCAGAGTGTCCTGACTGTCACAGGTGTCTCTCTGTGGGCAAAGACACAGTCACCACGTTCCCTTCTCTCAAGTCCATGGGTTGACACCCTCCAGGTGAGTGTCCGGAGTCTGAAATGCTCTGTGACAATACATTGCTGCAAGTGGAGACGCCCATACCATCAAGCTTTCTTTCCCGAACAAAGTCATTCCCAAACACTTTTGCATAACGTTATCATCAGGATCTATATATACATATATATATATATATATATGTGGTGCATATGAGAATATGAATCATGATGAATCATGCATGTGTTTCATGTTTAGAGGAGTTCTGTTCTCCCAAGAGATCTCATTATGGGTATGCAGATATTCAAAAAAAATGAAAAAAGGGAAGAGTTTGAAACCAGAACCATTTATAATCCTAAGTGTTTCAGATAAAGGACATCCAACCTGAATCAACCAATGTGTGGAATGGAGTCTTTGGTGATGTTCTGTAGCAATTTGTAAACACTTAAAAAAATGAACTGGGGGCTTGAGAGATGGCTCGGTGGGGGGAGTGCCAGCCCTGTGAGCAGTAGGACCTCAGTTTGGATCTCCAGGGCCCATGCAAGGCCAGGCATGGTAGCACCCCTCTGCAACCCCATTGCTTCCATGATGAGATGGGATGTGGGAGGTCTTCAGAAACTCACCGGCCAGTTCACGTGGCATACGCAGCCGCAAACCACAAGCGACTGGGTCAGATAAAGCAGAAGATGCGGCCCAACACCCAAGGCTGTCCTCATGCATGTGGTTCGTGTGACACCACACACACGCGCACGTGTACACACACACACGCACGCGCACACACACACACGCACGCACGCACGCACACACACACGCGCACGCACGCACGCACACACACACACGCGCACGTGTACACACACACGCACACACACACACACACGCACGCACGCACGCACACACACTATTCGTATGGTTAACACACAAAGGTTAACACAGTGGATTGGTGGTAATCGCTCCATTAAAAGTAGGTAGGCTAAAAGCAGTATGTAGAAGACAGTCACACTCACCATGATCTCATTGACATGTAATAGCTCTCGGGCTTCTTGGAACCGTGGTCTGGACTACTGAAGTCAATGGAGTCACCGGAGTCATTGGAACCAGTGATGCTCTCTAACTAAAGGGGAGAATAATAGATGTGAGGAGACGTTCTGCGGCTGGGCCAGACCCTTCCTTGCCTCACACCGCTCTGCATCTGGAATAATGCATTCCTCCGTGGCGAGGACAGCAGCTCTTGGGAGAAGATCAACGCCTTCACCACGGGAGAGACTCAAGGCCTGTTTCCCTTCCTGGGAGCCCCCATGCCCCATTCCAGACACACGTACTCTACGGGGAAGCTTTGGGTTTTCCTTTCTGCCTAACTCCCAGACATTTAATGCCCTGAGCCTCTCCCCAAAATGGTTGATTCTATGGGTCATGGAAGCCGATTGGACCAAAGCCTAGACACAGTGGTTGCTTTCACGACCACTGACACTCCTCTCTAGCTGGCCATTGACTTCTAACTGGGGCGCAGCCTTCCAGTCAAGACATTCTTCCAACAGCTGTCTCTTCACCAAAGGCTGTCTTCCAGACTTCGAGTTCATGTGGTCTTCTTTGCCCGGGATTCCCTTTTCTTCTCCTTCCCAGTGAAGTCCTGTTGTTACCCCAGATTCCTGAATCACCTTAGCCCTCCTGACTGTTGGGGAAGTATTATGCCAATAAAGCACTGTCTGGCCAATAGGGAATCTAGATAGGAGGGACAAGGAGTCCAGGAGGATTCTGGGAAGGAGAAACAAAGAGAGTCAACATGTAACGCCATGGGGTAGGAGCCTGGAACTATTCTCCGATAAGAGACATACTTAGATTAACAATTATGGGGTAATTACTTAAGTCAGAGCTAGCCAGTAAGAAACAAGCAAGGCCAACAGCTTCATAATTAATATAGCCTCCTGTGTGTTTATTTGGGACTGATGCGGCTCTGGAACCAGGCGGGCAGAACGGTTTCTCACAAGGAAAAGCTTCTCTTAACAAAATGGTGATCAGGAGTGGGATCATGAATTTCCACGTAGAATGACAAAAGCTTTAAAGGAATTTTAGGAACAGAGAGAAGCACAGATTTTTGATAGCAGCATTTTTCTCAGGTGGGCTCTGTTTAGCTAGCCACAAGCCGAGATTCACGCGGCTCGCTTATCAGAGTCTTCCTGACTCGGCATAAAAAAAAAAATCAGCAAGGTTCTTTTAAGAGGCTTTGCTAACAATTTAAAAGTTGTACGTACAGCTGGAAGTGGCAGTGACATCTCCAAGCAGGCAGCTGGAGTCACGCTTACACCCGCCATCTTGAAAAACCGGCGGTTTAAACTGCCGCGGTTTTATAGATAAGACACGTGGCCAGAAAAACATAAAGCTTTACAGTAAAGTCAGACTTGGATGAACAAAACCTCTAAAGGTTTACAGTGTGTTTAAAAATATACGTGAGATTGAGAGAGAAAATGAAACGGCAAAGTGGTAAATAAATACAAAAGCTGGTGTGGTGGCGCACGCCGGTAGGATTTACTTCAGAGGCAGAGGCAGGCGGATTTCCAAAGATAACCCCTGTCTCAGAGAAAAAAATAAATAAAAGTGAAAGAAATAAAGTAATAATAGATAAATAAATAAGCCACGCAAAGATGGAAAATACACAGAGAGTCTGGATACTGTATACTATTGTGTTTTTCAGTTTTTTGATTACTCATGAAGGAACTGCTAAAGTATGCTTGATTATAAATGCTGCTAAATTAATCCAACTTCTATATTTTAAAAATGCCTTGACTTCAAAATTTAAGTATAAGGATATGTTACTTGGGAAAGGAGTTTTATCTCCTTACCCAGACACCATAGTCCCCAGAGTGTCTACAGCCTGTCCTTTCTACACACCTGACTGGTTGGTTGTCCCCAGACACTATATTCTACAGAGTGTCTACAGCCTGTCCTTTCTACACACCTGATTGCCAGGAGCAATTGTTATATAAACTTTAAAGGCTGACAAGAGCCCACAGCCTATGTAGCCTTCCCCCATTCCCCCAACAGAGAAAGAATATTCTGTGGTAACTGAGTAACCTCCTGATAAGAAGAACTTGGGCTTACAGGAATGGCTGATGGCAAAAAGGGAACTACCCCACAAACAACCCCTCCCTCTGCGACCCTTCCACCTTGCCAACACCCTGCCATCCTGCCCTCAAGTGGCCCTGACTAAGGACATGCTGTGGCCTGGTTACTAGGCAACCGCCCCTCCCTCACTGTCCTGTCCCCCAACCTCGTTCCTCTACGAAATCTTCAATGGACGCAGCTTGATCAGCCATGCTGTCTTGCTGTCCGTTTCTCGTGTCTCTTGTCCCGTCATTCCAGGTTCCCGTGGGCTCCACCCCTGTTGTGCCCCGCTGGCCAGGGCACCTGATTGGTTGGTTGTCCCAGAGAACATGAGCGTGGAAGCATTCTTGGTGAAAGAAGATGTTCTGTGTGTAAGAGACCATGGGCAATGCCTTGTGCTGGGCACTTGTGGGCACTTGGGCTGCTTACAATGCAGGACTGCACACCAAGGGCTCTGAGAACGTGGCTGGTTTAAAACCACTCGTAACTTAGCATATCCATAACCAGCGTGACCCCAGCATGCGTCTCTAAGCTGTACATTGCCACCTGGTAGAAAACCCCCAACTTGTCTCCCATCACTCTGTCCTGTCACCCCACGCCACGTTCTGTATCTGCGTCTACCGCAGACATGACTTCTTGGCCAGTGCACCTAAAAGTCAATCCATGTCTTACCACTTGCCTATTTAGAAGCTGTCTCTGTCCCTATGCGTCTCACAGAATGAAGTCAACTTGGAATTAAACGTCCATCGTGGGGTGGCTCTTATTTTTTTCTTCCCCGTTTATTTTCCGACCCGGGCCGGTTCACCCCTCCTTAGGCAAGTTTCTACTCCGCCGTCCGCACTCTCTGCACGGTAGCCTACCCGAGCCATTTACCAGGCACGGCAGACGCCAGTGGTCTCTGAAGCTTGCTTTGACTCAGATGGATAAAGAAGAATCTGCCTTATGTCTGAGGATGCTGGACCGCTCCGTGTCTCCCTGTGTGGCATTATCGTTGGTAACAGAAACTTGGGTTCTGAAATGCGGAGGACCGCGAGGCTCATCACCACTGCCACCATGCTGAGCACGGTGCGCAGAGTCCACCGTGCTGAGCACGGTGCGCAGAGTCCACCGTGCTGAGCACGGTGCGCAGAGTCCACCGTGCTGACCACGGTGCGCAGAGTCCACCGTGCTGACCACGGTGCGCAGAGTCCGACCGTGCTGAGCACGGTGCGCAGAGTCCACCGTGCTGAGCACGGTGCGCAGAGTCCACCGTGCTGACCACGGTGCGCAGAGTCCACCGTGCTGACCACGGTGCGCAGAGTCCACCGTGCTGACCACGGTGCGCAGAGTCCACCGTGCTGACCACGGTGTGCAGAGTCCACCGTGCTGAGCACGGTGCGCAGAGTCTTGCACTCGGGGGGGGGGGGGGTGTTCCAGTTACACCCACCACCAGCTGATTACCCAGTGACTTTCATCCCCTTCCTTCCAGTCCAGAAAACAGATAGACTGTTAAAGTCCACTCTATCCACCCAGTCCTCCAGCATCATCTCCTCTGTAGACCTTTCTCTGGTCCTCGCTCTTCCCACCGCTGGCACCACACAGGCATTGTGTAAGCCTATGTCACAGGCATTGTGTAAGCCTATGTCTTGTGCTACGGTTGGCTCCTATTCTGGTGTCAGCCCCACGAGCACGTTATCTGTCTCTGCCAGCTTTACCTCTCTGCCCTCCTGACCTCAGCCCCTTGCCCCAGCAGCAGTGTGTGGCAGAGGCTTGAGCAGGACGTGCTGAAGGTGTGAATGGCTAGTGGGCCAGGGGAGGGGCTTACTTCTGAAAGGAAGCTTCGAGGAGAGAGGTAGTAGTTCTCTTCTTCTGTGTCTCGAGGGGGTTCTGAGTGGAAATCGTGTTCACGATGAGGATGAGCTTGCCTGAGTCCTCGGGGGCATTTTTGTATTAAATGCTGAGTAAGGTGCAGAAGGAGTTAATGAGTTCCTTCCTGCTTCCCTCCCTCCCTCCCTCTCTTCCCTTCTCCCCTCCTTCCTTCCCTCATCCCCTCCTTCCCTCATCCCCTCCCTCCCTCCTTCCTTTCCTCCCTCCCTCTATCCATCCCTCCTTCTCTCCCTTCCTCCTTCCTTCATATAGAATTAAACCAATACTTTCTAGAAAAAGTATAATAGATTAGTCTGGTTGACAAGATCGGAGGCTCTTTCAGTATGACATGCAGAAGCCCACACACACTGAACTCGCCTCTTCAATTTGGATCACCTCTAATGGTGTGAATGCATAAGCACAGCTAACCCTTGGAATTTTTCTCTACTGTGCAGAGTTATAACTCAGAACACGAAGTTTTCTGCTGCGCTGTGGGTGGCGTGCTAAGGCACAGAGCTTTGTCATGGTGTCTCCACCCCCATGGCTTTCCAGTCACCTCTCGGCAGCTTCTGAGGAGGTAATTAGTCTGGAGTCACTGAACCTCCTCCTCCTGGCTCAGGATTCTGCTTTTGTGTTTTGCCTTGTCTGTTTCCACAGCAGTACAATTAGGTAGTGTTGGCTATATGACAGGATGAATTATAGGCTTCCAGGTGATGTAGATGCAAGCAATTAATTATCGCCTCCCCTCCCCCAACAGACATCAGATACTCCATTAATGTAAGTGCTCCGCCTAGTGTAAGAACTGTTATGAGTGCAATTTAGTTACTCCAAGAGCAATGCTGGGCAGCGGGGCTTTCATAAGACCCTGGATGTTTGATAGGAATTCCATATAGAAGGTAGCTGTGTGTGTGTGTGTGTGTGTGAGAGAGAGAGAGAGAGAGAGAGAGAGAGAGAGAGAGAGAGAGAGAGAGAGAGAGAGAGAGAGAGAGTGCACCGTGACTTGTGATGTGGGCTTCCAGATTTTCTTCTCTTGTAGACAGAGTGCAAGAGACATTCAATGGAAACTGGATTATTACAGTTTTTTTAAAAACTGTAACCTTTGTGTGAGCCACCAAAGAGCATGATAACTTTCTTGCAAGTAAGGTGGCAGCAGTGAGCCACAGCTCCTTGACAGCCCCGCAACCATGGGAGGGAAACAGCGGACCCCGCACAGAGTGCTGTGATGCTCAGAAAGTCAGGTGTGTTAAATGCACTTTCCATTTATTATGAGTTTATCTGGATATGACCCCTGCCTCTGAGAAGCCCACAAGCATCTATACATACATACATTTTGGGTTGTGAGCCTAGCCTTTAGCGGCTGAGCCATCTCTCCAGTCCATCTATATATACTTAAGGCATGTCTAGCTCAAAGCTCACTGCTTCGGCATGAATGTTGCCCGCCCTGCAAGTATATATTGAAATTTAAATGCCTTTTTTTATAGCATTAATGGGTAGAGCTTTGAAAGATAGTCGGGTCCTGATGGTTATCTATGCCTTCGTGTGTTCCTGCGTGTCATGTCTGAGAGGAAGGCTGACTTCACCCAGATCACCCTCTGCCTGCCTGCCTGTCACTTGATGAGCCAGCAGAAGGCCCCCACAAGATGAGGCTCCTTGATCTTGAACTTCACAACTTTCAGAGCTGTGGAAACCAATTGTTGCTGTTTAGAAATTCCTGGCATGCTATGGTATTCTGTTGTGGTTGCTAAAGATGAACTCTGGAGCCCGATTGTGCTGGGTTGGGAGTGAAGGTTTTCCAGTGTACCAACAACACCAACAACAAAACCCCAGCAAGACAAGGCTTTAACTTGAGAGGGTTGAATTATCGTTTTTTTTTTTTAACTTGGTTGCAATAAATAATGGGAAAAGGCAAAAGTTACCAGTATAACTCCTCTGGAAAAGAAACTTTGTTTGAGGTCACTACGCCTGCTCTTGCGTCTGATGTGTGACTGCTGCTTTTGCTCACTGAATGGCTGAGATGAGGTGTTTGGACTGGTGGCGTTGTGCTGAAAAAGCTTTTACAATGTTGCAAAGCTACCAGCTGGATGAAATGAGAAACCTTGCCTCTTTGCTTGTGCTTGGTACCCACAGAGAGAGGGATGCCAGCGGTGGTGTCTTTAAGGGATGAAATAACAGATGTGCGGGAAAGCAAACTCCGCAGCCTGTTTATTGATAAGAGTCAAATCTAGAAACATCAAATCTAGAAAGGCGAGGGCTTGATTCTGTGCCCTCCAGGGGGCGGGCATGCTATTTTACCCCCTCAAACAGGTTGCATTGGGAGTGAAGAGGGTGTGACACACAGAATGAGAAGCCAGACTGATGGCATGAGGGAAAGGAAGAGAAAGAAACTCCACCTTGCCTGAGGGTTTGGACAGCACAACTGGAAATCAACGGTTCCCCGGGGGCCGTTTGTGTCCTGTGTGTGGAAGGAGGGGAGGTTGCCAGCTAAGCTTAGGGAAAGAATCCCAGTTTGTCAAGAGCTTCCAAGTGGAAAAGCCTGCCTGTAGAATAGGCAATGAGCAAAGATGCATAAATATTAAAATCAGGAAGTGTGTGTGTGTGTGTGTGTGTGTGTGCGCGCGCGCGTGCATACATGGGAAGGTCAGAGTCTTGTGTGTGTGTGTGTATGCACACATGGGAAGGTCAGAGACGTGTATGTGTGTGTGCGCGTGCACACATGGAAAGGTCAGAGGGCAATCTCAGGCGTTGTTTCTCAGAAGCATTCACCTTGTCCGTTTGTTTGTTTGTTTGTTTTTCTCCACTGGCCTGGAACTCACCTAGCAGGCTAGGCTGACTGGCCCGCGAACCCCAAGGACCCCTGCCTCCTTGGCACTAGAGTTCTAATGTGTGCCACCACAGAGTCCCGGGGAGTCAATGCCAGTCCTTGTGCTTACAAGGCAAAGGCTGCTGTGACCGAGCTATCTCCTCAGCCCCAGGAATGAAGAGAAAGATGGACAAGGTCAATGTCCGCTGCCGGCCAGTGGCACTACTCAGCAATGGCCGACTCCCTGAGGCCGTGTCCTGACACTGCAGGAGGAGGCTTTGATTACCACGTCTGGAAGACTGGCCCTTGGTAAAGCAAGGCTGGTAATCTCCGGTACACTGCAGAGACCAGAGAAAGGACTGGGGTCGGAAACTGGCCGTCTGTCACCCAGCGAAGCCTTCTCCTGCGTAGAAAGAAAAGCAGTTTTGTAGTTAGAGCCCAGCGGTTGTCATTTCCCTCCGCTGCCACCCGGGCCCCCTTTCTCCAGGGTCTCCCCAAGGCTTTGACATCCCGGTTGCCCGTTAGCCAGCGTCATATCTCCAAGACAAGGGCTGATCACGTCAGTGCGACTTTCTCCGGCTCCCAAGTCCCGAAAGACACCCAGCCTGGCCTTAGCAGGCACCGTGAGTCCCCCCAGCCTGTCTCCTGTCTTCTCTGCTGTGTCTCCCTCCACACCCTGTCGTTCCTTCTCTCATCATCCAACCTACCCGGAGGCATGCCTTCATCTCTCCCTCTCTTTGCCATTTGCAACAAGCATGGGACAAGCTGGAAAAACCATCCCCCATAAATGTACCTACACCCAAGTTCCCTCCGTGACAGTCTCTAAGAAGGAACTGGGGAAATTCACCTAGTCCCTTATGGAGTCAGTTAAAAAGCCTTCAGCAGCTTACCTGACACAAGAGACATTATGTTAAAATGCAAGGCAGATGAAAACAATGTTTGACAGACGCCTCCCTAGACTTAGTCATTCGAAGGGAAGCCGGTTATGTACCGACAGTCACAATAGTGGAAAATAGTATACTTCAAGCTACTATGAAAAATTGCCACCATTAACTTTCACTCCCCCTATTGCAACAATGGCAATATAATTTAGCGCTCTTACAAAACAACAACAACAAAAAGGATTTTTCCTTTTGTTAATTGTACAAATAACAAGGGCATATGCTTCCTTGCTTACTTATCCCTCGAATTAACATCAGTTGCTAGGGAGAAAGAAAGGGACACAATTGTTTCTAAGGAAGAAGGGCCGTGTTCAGGTGCCCTGGAGCGAACGTCATCAGCGCAATAGAGTTACCTCTGTACTCTGATGAGCTGTTTTTACACCCTGGCAGTACGGTGACATGAAAAAGACCCAGTCTTTGATCTTCTCCCTGGGGGTAGGAAGAGAGTTTCAACTGGCATTGGTGGAAAACGCTCCCAAACTCGTTCCGAGCCTAGCGGATTCTTTGATTGCACTCGGAACAAGCTTAGGGATCAGCTGCCCACAAAACAGAACTCTTTTCCCCAAGCAGTTTGAATGGTTCGCTGCTCCCTAGCTGTCTCTGCATCTGCACAGTCGAATTAACCCTCGTGGCACCTCCAGTAGGGACCGTGGGGTTCAGGGCTTCTGCTTTCCATGGTGTCCTGCCCGTCAGCCAGCCCCCTTCTGTACCCTCCAGCCTTCCCCGCCCCTCTCAGGAAATGTATTTTAGGAAGAGGGCTGTACTGGTTAGGGGTTTTTGTCAACTTGACACAAGCCCAGGTCATCTAAGAAGAGGGAGACTCAATTGAGGGCATTCCTCCACCAGGTTGACCTGTAGGCAAGCCTGTGGGGGAGTATTTTCTTGATTAAAAATCAACGGTAGTAGGGCCCAGTCTATTGCGGCTGCGCGGCCCCTTGGCAGATGGGCCTGGGCACCAAGAGAAGGTAGGGCTAAGCAAGCCGTAATGGACAGGTCAGTGAGCAGCACTCCACGCTCCATGGCCTCTGCGTCAGCTCCTCCTCCAGGCCCCTGCCTCAACTTCCTACCCCGACTTCCCTCAAGGACGGACTGCAAGCTAATGGACTTGTAAGCTAATAAATCCGTCCCTCAGGAGTCACCTCATGTCAGTGTTTTTTACCACAGTAAGCAGAAAGTACACGGGGCAAGTGTGCCTGTGTGAACTGATACATCCCCCATCTTCTCCTCTGTTGTCTTATGCGATGATTTAAAAGACGACATTGCTGTGAGTTCGAGGCCAGGCTGGACCGACAGCCTCCAAAACAATACAGAGAAACCCTGTCTCGTAAAAAACAAAAAACAACAACAACAAAAAAGACGACGTTGCAGCTTTTCGCCACGACTTAAAAGAAAACTTTGGCATCATGCTTGGCTTCCGCCTCTGTCTTCTCCCACACCATAATCCCTCTCTCCAGTAGGCAAGTGGGTGTGAGAATCCACTGGGGCACTTCTGCTAGCAACAGGAGCCTCTCTTTAAAAGCTTGAGGGTGAGCACAGTCCCTCCCTGCAGCTCCTACAGATATTTTTGATCATATTTGTTTTTCACAGAAGGCATCTGGGTGACAGCGACTGTCGTGGCTTGCTTTGTGACCCTCTCCACAGCTACTATGTCTTAGTTCCAGCTCCTCGTCCTCAGACGTCACCTTGTGTAGAAAGGGACTATTTACGGAAATAACCTGCTGAGATAATAATGGAATACAGGTACCTTCTAAACTAGTATAACTGGTATCTGTGGGGGGGAGGAGAAATTTGACCCAGAGGTGTGTGAATAGGGGGAACTCCATGTGAAAGCCAGGGTTTGGCTGCTGTAGCCAAGGCACCGCCGGCATTTCCAAGAGAGCGGTTTGAGAAGAGTCTGCCTTCCCCAGAGCTTCACCGGGGTGGCCATGCCGTCCTGGTTGCTGACTCCCAGCCTTCAGAGCAGTGAGGTTATAAACCTCTGTTGTTTAAACACCGTTACAACACTCGTAAGCAGCTAGCATAATGATTCTTTATCTTAAGCGCCAGGGAGGAAGCATAGGTGGCATTTGCCATGCAACCATGAGGGTCTGAATTCAATCCCTAGAGAAGAGCCAGGCGTGGTGGAATATTCGCAATGCCAGCTGGGGAGGCAGAGGCAGGCAGGTCCCTGCAGTTTTCAGGTGAACCAGTCTAGCTTAATTCAACTCCAGTGAGGGACCCTGTGTCATAAAAACGAAGTAGACCTTCACATCCAGACACATGTGCGCTCACACACGCGCGCGTGCACATGCACACACACACACGTGCAGCCATATATGTATGCACATACCCACATGTCCAGCCATACACATATCTACACACACATGCACACACACTCACATGTGCACTCATAACAACATGTGCAGCCACACACACTCACATGTGCAGTCACACACATATGCACACACATGCACACACATTCACGGGCAGTCATGCACATATATGTCCAGCCATACACATATGTACACACACATGCACACACACTCACATGTGCAGTCACACACATATGCACACACACTCACATGTGCAGTCACACACACATGCACACACATTCACGGGCAGTCACGCACATATATGTCCAGCCATACACATATGTACACACACATGCACACACACTCACATGTGCAGTCACACACATATGCACACACACTCATGTGTAACCATGCACATATGCACATATATGTTCAGCCATATAATACGTCCACACACATGCACACACACTCACATGTGCACTCATACCCACATGTGCAACCACACACATATGCACACACACACATACACACAACCATTTTGGCACACAAGGAAGACCGATGCTCTGCCTTTGCAGCCTGGTTTATATTTTCAGCCTGTTTATTGTCTATAGGCTCACAATGCCTTTGCTGTCACGCACAGCAGTCATGCCATCTTCCTACTGCTCACCTGTCATGGCCAATGAGGAAGTAGTCCCTGTTCACGGTTCTGATGGACATCACCTCCTCTGGGTGGCACTTGAACATCTTCTGCACAGATTGCATCTTCTCCTGGCTATTTATGCCAACCTCTATGATGGTACTTCTGAGACAGACACAAAGTAACTAAGCGGATACAGAGAGCAACTTAAGACAAAAACAGACTCCTGTCTTAAATTGGGAAGGAAACTGAACATTCCACTGACCCACATTTTAAAGACTGTCTAGTTCCCGTCATAAATCTCATTTGAATTCTTTCTATTTTAGAAAATAACTCTGGATCTGGTTCATCAGTAATTGAAAATATTCTGTTCAGCTTGAAATTCAACTCAGAAGTTCCTATTCGGGTTGGGTTTCTGAGTCCACAAATTGCAATATTTTCCAGTACTCCTGGTGCATGATTTCTGAAGAAAAGACAAAGAATAGTTGATCTAAAATATTTCTTAAACTCCACCTTGGCTCTGTGAAAATTGGATTTCAGGGGCTCTAACTCATCAAAAAATTAAGTGAGACGAAGTCTTCCCCCAAATGCTCAGGGATTGGAGATGTACCGCCTATAACGTATACTGTGAAGTAACGACCTCACTTTTACCTACACTGCTCATTGTCTCAGCTCTCTTAGAGGCACAAATACCATGACAGGTCGGAAACCCATGCTGCTTTCGGTCAGAGACCCAGGGTTCAGTTCTGGACAGCTTGTTTAGCGTTTGGCTTGGACGCGTTTGCTGCTGTTCAGGTTCCCTGGTTCAGATACACACCGATCGAGCTCGATGGAGCCTCGATGTTGATGGTCCTTGTAATAGGAAAGACTCAGGCCCTTTCCCCCTCTCTGGGACAGGATAAAGAGCCGCTTTTTCCAGGAGGCCTGAAAAACGAAAAGGTTTTGCTGTTCAGTCGAGCCTCAGAAGATGAGGAAGGACTTTTTTTTTCAAATGCTCATGAGCTGGTGGGAGTCTGGCTAGACCACAGCGGGTACTCACGGCAGAGAAGAAAAGCTGGGGGGGCGGCGACTTAATGAAGTAATCTTGTTTGTGGACTTCATTTCCATAATCGAATGCAAATTGTTTGCCTGATAGAAAGAAAGTGAAGAGGATTCGGTTTGTTCTCTCGTAAGTTTCAGAAAAGAACGGCCCCATTTGGAAACCATTGCTTATCTTCAAATTGTTCAGTTATTCAAAAGAACATGCACAATAGCTGTCACCCCCGACCCCCCAAAAGACCAAGTGAGGAGCAACAGCTGTGCCACCATTGGATGCCTTTAGTGGCAGCTTTGGCTCACACTCTCTCTCTCTCTCTCTCTCACACACACACACACACACACACACACACACACGCACGCACACACACGCACGCACACACACGCGCGCGCACGCACCTCTGTTTTCTCTCTTAGGGCCACAGAGAAGGAAATGCAGGAGAGGGACCTCATTAGCATGACTGGATGCCCAGGTCTCACCTGCTCTGTTGTATCACCCTGACTCCATTTTCCTGCAGCAGGTTTTTTAAGCCTGCGGTAATGTCTGTCTTTGCTGAACCCGAAGGCGGACTAGACCTACAGCCAGTGATGTCAGAGTAAAACTTGCCCTTAACCACAGTTTTTAACAGCACGGCTTTCCTAAATGAAAATACCCTGCAGTTCATTTAGACAGTTTAGAAAACTACAAAATGATGATGATGATGGTGGTGATGGTGATGGTGATGATGATGGTGATGGTGGTGATGGTGATGATGGTGATAAAAAACTGACTTTAATTCCAGGAATGACAATGAAACAGTTAATATTTAGGAGCCTCTTTACTGCTTCTTCTGGCCTGGTTTCCACAGCAGGTATTTCTGCTTCTACTTGTTAAACTGTGTGTGCATGTTTAGGTCATGAGTGTATGCACACACACACACACACACACACACACACACACACACACGCACGGACACACTCTTCCTCACATGTGTGCCACGGAAAGGCTAGAAAAGATCAGAGCACCCACATAGGACAAGAAAAATGTGTATTCCCTCCAACCATGCTGGACAAGGGTGTAATTCATAGCACATTAGGTGGAGGGCTGAGGACTGTGCCAGACTCACCCCACAAATCATAAAGGCAAGTCTTAGAAGACCAACTTGTTCCCAAGAAACTTAAGATTTATAAGAATAAAAAATATTCAGCTCCAATAAAGTAAGTTTGTAATGTCTGGCAAGCAGTCAAAGGTGGCTAGGCATGCAGCAGAGGCAGACAAATGTGACACGGATGAAGGGAATAACTAACCAATCAAGGCACAGGTGTTAGACACGCCAGAGATGTACCGTCACTGTCAAAAGCTCGTGACAGTACGGGTTAGAAAGACCCAAAGTGAACTCCGGGAGACGAAAGCAATGGCATCTTGGGGGCCAGGGAGTTTTCACACCCAGACTGTGAGAGAAGATGGAATAAAACAGAAGAAAATTACAGTGCACCCAAATGCATAGCAATAGGGACTGTCAAAGAAAGCAGAGAAAAGTCCAAGCATGGAAAGGGAACCCATGCACCAGGGGGCAGTCTCAAGGGCCCAACGCAAAGCAGCTGGGATCCTTTAAAAAGAGGGGAAGAATCAAAAAAATAAATTGAAACAAATTCTAAAAAGTTCATGAACTTAAAATTATAAACCAAGACCCAATCAATTCAATGAACCTCATGAAACACAAGATGCGGGAAAGAAACATACCCCGAAGCTCCTCAGCATCAAGATGCTCAAAACCATGCCACCAGCAAACATCTCAAAAGCAGACAGTGGAGAGGACAGTCCGCATATAACAAAGATAAGCAACAAAAGGGTTCCGGTTCTTTTTAAACTTCCATTTACGCCATGAATGGCTTGCCTGAAAGCATGCCTGTGTACCTCAGGCATGCCTGGTGCCAGAGAGAGCCAGAAGGCGACGTCATATGCCCTGAGATCGGAGTTACAGAGGGTTGTAAGCCCCCACGTGGGTGCTGGCAATGAAACCCAGGTTCTTTTGGAAGAGCAGCCAATTGTCTTAACTGCTTAGCCATCTCTCCAGCCCCAACTGCTTGATTTCTTGTTAAAATTTAAACAAGAAAATGTTCAGCATTATACAGCACTGAAGAAATGCCACTATTCAAAGTTCTATAAGCAGCAAATGTATCTTTTAAATAAGGAAGTGATTTGGATGCATTTTCAGGTATGCAAATTTTGAAAGAATTTCATGATTAGAGGAAGCTTCCACTCTCAGAAGCGACGCTAAAGGAAACCCTTAGAATGTATTAGAGGCATGCAGAACACCGATGGGAACCACAAGGCTAGGTGCGTGAGGTGACTTTTCTTATTATTTAAAGCATCCAACAATTCAACTAGCTAAACAAAAATAGCAATGCATTGTGCAAATTATAATGGTGTGTGAATAATGTGAATTCCAATAGCAGTGTAAAGGCTAGGGACAGAAAATGAGATTACATCTCTGTAACGAGTCTGCATTATTTGTGAGCTAATATACCATTACTTGGGGGCTATGCTGCTGTGTGTTTAAAAATACATAAGCAGGAAAATAATGGCTAAAATAACATAGCACAGTTTAATAAGCTAATAAGACAGGTAAAGTAAAACCATAAAAGTGCTCCATTAATTCACAAGAAAGCAGAAAGCCTGTGGTAATTGGGGGGGGGCAGGCCAAATGAGGAAAATAGAAAACAGCATTATGATCCATGTAAAATCTAAGTCACCCAAGCACCTGAACTAAAAGGAAGACATTGTCAAATGCGATGAAATAGTAAGATCCAACTCTGTGCCACTTATAAGAAACACATTACAAGTGTAAGAGGCACAAGTAAAAGAAAAAAAAAACGATGCACGTCTTAGTCAGGGATTCTGTAGCAAAAGCAACTTGGGCAGGGAAGGGTCTGTTCAGCTTGTACTTCAGGCCACTGTCCATCACTGAGGGAGGTCAGGCCGGAGCCTGGAAGCTGGGACTGAAGAGAAGCCGTGGAGGGGTGCTGCTTACCGGCTTGCTCCTTGTGGCTTGCTCAGCCTCTTCTTATACAAGTCAACGCCACCCGCCCAGGGTTGGCACCACCCACAATGGGCTGGGCTCTCCCGCATCAGTCATTAGTCAAGAAAATGCCCCCAACAGGCCAATATGGTGGGGGCATTCTCTCAACTGAGTTTCCCTCTCCTAAGAGATCTTTAGCTCAGGCTAAGTAGAAAAACAGCAACGAGCAAACAAAACCCTAGACAGTACAATACACCCTGTTAACTCAAGTCGCAAGAAAGCAGAGTGGCTACAGTATATCATGTAGATCCCAAAGCAAGGGATAGTACCAGGGAATAAAGGTCATTTTTATGGTAACATAGGAGTCAACTAATCCTAAGAGGCTAAGATAACAGTAAACATACGTGTCCTTAGCAACAGAGCTTCAAACATGAAGCAAAATCTAACAGAGTCACAAGAAGAAAAAAAAAGACATATTCTAAATGAAAGGCACCCTCCCCCCTTGCCCTTCACCACCAGAGGCAAGCAGGAGAGCTGACCCTGTTGACAGGGGTGTGGGCGAGCCCACCCGAGGACATGAGTGTAGAACATCCGGCCCCGCCCCTCATCTGCCATAAGGTGGAATGAATGGGCAAGGGAGAGGTGGCCTCCCGCCTGCCCCACGGCTCACTCCCCATGGCAGGGGAAGAGCTGGCCCGGAGGTCCTGAGAGTGAGAGGGTTGGCCCCGCCTCTTACCGGCACCCAGGAGAGTACCTGCATCTGGTCTGGGCAGCACAGTAGAGCTGGCCCTGGTGGTGTAGGTATGGGTGAAGCCAGCCCTAAGTGCACGAGCGCAGGAGAACGGGCCCCACCCCTTGCCCCTTGCTGCAGAGGGAGAACTAGCCAGGGCAGAGCTGGAGAGCTCACTGTGGTGGCTAGGAAGAGGGAGAGATGGCAGGCTGACCAACCCTGCAACCACCCAGGCCCAGAACCAGGGCTACGAGTTGGCCCATCCAACATCTAACCCATCTGTGATCTGCTGAAGCACCCTTCGAAGGGGCTGGTCCAGCAGATCCAAAGCTGCAGAACCTCCATGACTCAGGACAACAACAGGATGTCCAAGAGGAGTCCCGGTATCAACAGTGTAGCAGAAACCGGAGGCCTGGAGCTGGACCAGTGACTCACTACAATGAACACTTGTTAGGAAAGATGAGCGGACCAAAGGGTTTACCATGTGACTCACTGCGTCCCACTACAGCTTCCACGATGAGATTTTTCTTTTAAAAATTTTACTTTGTTTTATCTTGTAGGGGGAGGTTGCAAGGGCAGAGGGGAGGATGCAAAGGGATGGAGAGATAAATGGAATTAGGATGCATGGTGGGAAACCCACAGAGAATCAATACAGAGTTAAATTGGAAACAGAAACAAAGTGACAGTCACCGGGCTGAAAAAGCCTTCTCTCCGTAACAGAGAGAACACATAAGGGAAAAATCGGCAGCAGCTCCGGCAGCACGGCCAAGGGTTTAGCCTGGATGGCATTTATGGAGCACAGTGACAGACCAGCCGGTCCTGTTCTCCTGGGCACAGCATGGCTCTTCCTGGTAGAGCATTCATCCAGCTAGGAAGAGAAGACGTTTCTTCAACCAATTCCAAGACCTACTTCCGCTTTTGATCTATAGACAACACTGAAGACTGCGACCTTTTCCTCTAAGCTCAGGGGCAAGAGAAAGGTGTTCGCGTTTGCCCTGTGTAGAGCCATCGAGCAAGAAAAGGGACCAGGGCACAAAAGAGTTGGGAAGAAGTGAAACTATTGCTCTTGGCAGATGACGTCATCCCGTGTGGTAGAGAAACCTTAAACAGTCCTGGGACAGCTACAGAGCTAATGGGCAGGGTCAGTGGTCTGTAAAGTCACTAGGCAACAGTTCTCACAGTTCCACAAAGTAGCAAGAGATGGTATGAATGTGAAAGCAAGAAAGTATTTCCATGTATTATAGAACTCCACAAGCAAAATTATAAAGATAAATTACTAGAAGAATTTAAGAACATAAATAAATGGAAATATACCCCATTCGCATATTCACAGATTGAAAGACAGTCATTCTGATAACGACAAATTAGAAGTAACCCCCAAAGCAATCTACAGATTCGATGCAATTTTTTTTGTTTTGTTTTGTTTTGTTTTGTTTTGTTTTGTTTTTTGTTTTTCGAGACAGGGTTTCTCTGTGGCTTTGGAGGCTGTCCTGGAACTCGCTTGGTAGTCCAGGCTGGTCTCAAACTCACAGAGACCCGCCTGCCTCTGCCTCCCGAGTGCTGGGATTAAAGGCGTGCGCCACCAACGCCCGGCGATGCAATTTTTTTTATCTGAATTCTAATGCATTTTTCATAACTGGAAAAGCTCATTCGTATTATCATGTGGATTTCCCAATAGCCTTGAATAGCCAAAACAATCTTGAAAGGTAAAGAGTATTCAGGTCTCCAAAACAAATAAACAAACCACCAAACCTTACAGGTTTGGAGAGATGGAGTGGTTAAGAGCACTGGCTGCTCTTGCAGAGGACCCAGGTTCAATTCACAGCACCCCACATGGCAGCGAATAACTGGCTGTAACTCTAATTTCTGGGGATCCAATACTCACATCAGGCCTCCCTGTGTACCAGGCATGCTCAAGATGCACATATGTGCACTTGGCATGAACATGGTGCATATACCCACATGCTGTGTTTTATATGCACACAAGTAATACAAATATATATTTTTAAAAGACTCTTACTATAAACTTGTAAGAATTAAGAGCAAGAGCACAGGCACACAGACCCAGGTCATAGATTGGAGGATCCAGAAACAAACCCACACATCAGTGGCCAAGGCCATTCCATGGACAGAGTACAATGCCCTTAACAAAGTCCTCCTAGAGTCAGTGTGCATTCACACACAAAACCCTGAAGCTGGGCTCTACAAACCATTGAGTTGACTCAGTGAATGAGAATGGAGGAAATACTTGTCTCTTGACAGTGACAGACAGCTGGCTGACCTGTAAAGGGGCGGGGGGAGAATGGAGAGAAACCACTTACTGGATAAGGGCTTTTATCCTAGCGTGACTGGATGCTTTAGAATTAGGTAGAGGCTGTGATGCACAGAATTGTGAATGTACCACAACTCCCTAAATTGTGTACTTTCCCTTACATCTGCTGCTAAGGCAGGTGGGGCTGTAGCTTAGAGGTTGAGTGCTTGCACGGGAAAAGTTCTGAGTTAATCCCTAGCATCACGGGGGGGGGGGGGTTGGGGGGAAGGGATTGGGGGTGCTCTAAAGTTAAGGTATATGGTGATCACACACAGGCTCTCCACAAATGTTCCGGCAGCTTTACTCTTTCTGAAGACTGGAAGCACCCCAGTTCTCTGACCTTCGGGTCAGGGGATTGATGAACTGGGATAGAGCTATGCACAGGGATATTATTTAGGAATGAGAAAGAAACAGACTGTGTATATGTGCAGCAGCACAGGTGAATCTCAAAAGGTTTACACTTAGTGACAAGCTAGTTGCTGGGGATATAGCTCAGCAGGCAAAGTGTTTGCCCAGGATGCACGAGGCCCTGAGTTCATCCCCAGCATTGCGACAAAGGAGCACAGTGGTCCACACATGTGATCTTTGGCAGGAGGATCAGGAGGTGATTCCTGACCAGCCTGGCCTACATGAGACCCTGTCTCCAAAGAAAGAAGGAAGAACAAAGAGTGTTCACCCCTCGTGATTTTATTTCTGTAAAATTCTACAATAACAAATTAGCTTCATACAGAGAGAAAGGAGACCCGTGGTTATCTAGGAGAGGTTGTATGCATGGCAGAGAGGGAGGCAGGGGTAGATGGTTATGCTCATTATCTGCACTGGGGGATAGATCATGGTATTTATTTATTTAAGTCTGACAATGTTCGTAATTTAGCCTAAGGCATCATGAATGCTAGGCAGGTGTTCTACTGTGACTTACAGCTGCAGTTTATGGTATCACTACAGGACAACCTTACCTAATTGTAACTTTAAACACAGGGACCTATTATATGCCAATTATGCCTCTAAAGATTTCTAAGATAGCAAATACATTTGAAAAAAGCTAAACATAGTTCTGCAATATGACCCAGCCATTCTATGCCTAAGTAAATTAAAAAATAGGTAAATGAAAGTGGTCTCCACTTGTACATGTGTGCATAAGCATATATACACACATCTACACGAACATGTACATATAACACACACATATTCTCTATATGCACATATGTGTATGTACGCATACATTTATATAGAAACACGAATGCTCACATAATCTTTTTATGTTAAAGACAGAAAGCACCCTAATGTTTCTAGATGGTGAGCAAACCACCCAGTTATGACACAGCCATACAAATGGAAAGGGGAACAAGACAATGCCAGGGTTGAATCTCAATCATGAGTTACAGAATTACACTGCCTAGAATAAGCCAGATGACAGTGTCTACCGTGTGCTTGCGTTTATGCAAAACTCTAGCAAACAGAGTGACAGAAAGCCAGGCCATGGGACAAAGGACTGGGTGTTGAAGGGAAGGATTACAATAGGAAAACTTGAGAGTCAGGAGTCAGGTTCCCTCCAAAACTTCCTAAGGGAAGTATGGGAAGCAATGTGATTTTTTAAAAATTAAAAGTATGTGTAAAAAATTAGAAAACTTAGTCCCACAAGAAAACCTTCCACAGGGGACTGGCAAGATAGCTCAGTATTTATGACACATGTATGAGGAGCCAAGTTGGGATCCCCAGGCTCCCATAAAGCCAGGCGTGGTCTCATGCATTTTAATAACCTCACTGGGCATCGAAAGGCAAATCTCTGGAGCTCACTGGCCAGTCAGCCAAGCTGAATCACTGGCTTTCAGGTTAATAAAAGACCCCGACTTGAGCAATAAGGTGGAGAATGATCAAGGAAGGCACTCAACATTGATCTCCAGAGTCCACACACACACACACACACACACACACACACACACACACACACACACACTCATTCACGTGAACACGTATGTATACCATATATATTTTATATATATAATAAAATAAGTCCTGCACACACACTAAGACGCAGCTCCATCAGCTTCTCCCTAAGACCTCTTTGGATTCCCAGGACCTCAGCCCTCCCTCTGGCTGCCACAGCAGTGTGCTCCTGTTCCGGGATTACACTGTGACCCGACTACTTGTGCTGAGCTAAGATTCTCCATTCAGACACTCGCCTGTGCTTTTCCCCAGTCTCTCAGTGAGATCATAAGTTCCCTGGCCACAACCACTCATCTGAGTTAAGCTGCAGATAGATCCTACAACCTGAAGCACACAGACTTAACAGTTACAGCTTTTGTAAACACTTTAGAGTCGAATGGGATGATTTGTTTTCAAGTTCTGCTGCTGTAGCTACTCTCCTGGAGTGAATTACACGACTGTGTAAGCAATGTGTACTGAGTGTTTGCACAGTGTGTACTGAGTGTTTGCACAGCGTGTACTGAGGTGCCCTCCTAAAAAGCCCTAATGACAATCTAGGCAGCCTAAGCGAGAATTTTATGCAAAATTAAAGGAATATATCCCAGTCTTAGCTGGGCTGTGACTTATTAAAGGCACTGTCTCCAACTTACAAATGGAACAGAGGGCCAATGAAAAACAGAAAATGCTAAATTTCTAGACAATTCAGCTTTTACAAATAATAAGTGAGTCCAACAGCTTCTCCTTTCTCTAAACCAAGAGTCACTGTCCCAGGACATCTGTGGTCCCTACAAAATAGGAACTGACGTCTGTGTCCTGGGCAAGAAGATGGACCTTGTTCACCATTTTTTTTGGTGGAAAGATGTTTCCTTCCGACTTACACCCCCCCAGGTACCTGAGTTCTTTGGAGGTCTGGCTTCCATCTGGATGCTTCTTCTTGCCCTGTCACGAGAGGGGTTAGACAACAGTTAGCCTCCAGATGTTGGTGGTCACAGTGACTAACTGCGGCACCACCAGGAGTCAGGTCAGGCCTCGCCAGCTCTGGCTCTGGCCTTTTCTGTCTATACTCCATGTATGGAGTCCAGAGGTCAACCCTGGGTGTAGTTCCTCAGGTGACATCTGTCTTGCTTTTGAGTCATTGGCTTGGAGCTCACCTGGCTGGCCAGAGCCCCCCCCCCCAGTCTGCTTATCTCCGCCTCCCCTGCTGCTGCCGCAAGCATACCCCGGCGTACCCCGCTTTTTAGTGGGGATTCCGTGAAGCCAGGTCCTCGTGCGTGAACAGCAAACCCTTTACTGACTGAGCCAGTCCCTCCAACTCCATCCCTCCAAGTATCTCTAGCTCTTGTTAGCACGTTCCCCCATTGTACCCCAAAGATGGTGGTAGCCATGGCAACGAGGACAAAGACAAGGAGCCTGTGTTCACCCGATAGGTGATCTGGGAGAAGCTGTGAAAAAGGCTACAAGTCCTTCCTGTCCCTGCCGCATGTGGCTGTAAAAGGAGAGCCCCAGGGAGGCAGGCGACGCCAGAGAGATCAGAGCAGCACACAGGGCAGAAGACCATGGATCAGACAGCGTTGGGGAGCACCGTGGATAGAGAAGTAGCCGAGACAAGCCTCTTCCCATCTTGGGCTTGCTGTCTACCAAGGGAACCTCATGAGCAAGGACCAGGGAGCCCTGTGCTCCCAATCCCTCCGCTATCCATGCTGCCATTCTCAAGATTTCCTGATGCCGACGCCCAAGACTGAGCCCGGGGAGCTGAACCTAACTAAGTCTTGTCCTACAAAGCTGTCTGTCGTCCTAAACCACCTAGGGCAGAGGTTCTTGACCTGCTTGATACTTTGCCCTTCCTTCCAAAGGCACAAATAATTAAAAATTATAATGTGCATGTTCAAATTGCTCTTGGGAATTTTGTGTCTAAAGCATGAATTTCTGGCCACATCTGTAATTTCAGCATTCGAGAGGTAGAGGCAGTAAGATCGCATGCTCAAGGCTAGCCTCGGGTACATGGTGAGTTTGAGGCTAGCCAAGGCTAATTTGAAATACTATTTTTAAAAAATTCCCTGGGCTTCTTTTCAATGTGAGCATGCCGTTGCCCGGGGAAGTAGACATTAGGAAGATGTGCTTTTGAGCCTGCCGGTTCCTCCGGCCTCCACACACTTCAGACTTGGACGTCACGCATGCAGGGTTAGCCTGGTGAGTCAGGATGCACAGAACCTGGATCCGGTAGTGGTGCCTGGGAGACCGGTTGTGAGCAACATGTTTTCCAGCAATTTAAAGCAAAATTAACTGGAAAGTGTTCAGAGGCTGTTCTTTGGGGAAAAAAAAGTTTTGTTTTTCCCTGATAAAACACCTAGTTGTTTTTAAAGCCCATATAGTCTGTAAAGAGGAGGGATAAAATCTTCCCAATACTGGTTTGAGTCCATCCTGCTTTTTTATAGCTTGTTTAATCCTTCCCCAGCAGCAGAGCTCTGAGTGGGGCCAGGGAGAGTACAGGCCCTGAGCACTGAGGTTACTCAGCCCAGGCCCTGAGCACTGAGGGTACTCACCCCAGGAACTGAGCACTGAGGGTACTCACCCCAGGCACTGAGCACTGAGGGTACTCAGCCCAGGCCCTGAGCACTGAGGGTACTCAGCCCAGGCCCTGAGCACTGAGGGTACTCACCCCAGGCACTGAGCACTGAGGGTACTCACCCCAGGCACTGAGCACTGAGGGTACTCACCCCAGGCACTGAGCACTGAGGGTACTCACCCCAGGCACTGAGGGTACTCACCCCAGGAACTGAGCACTGAGGGTACTCACCCCAGGCACTGAGCACTGAGGGTACTCACCCCAGGCACTGAGGGTACTCACCCCAGGAACTGAGCACTGAGGGTACTCACCCCAGGCACTGAGCACTGAGGGTACTCACCCCAGGCACTGAGCACTGAGGGTACTCACCCCAGGCACTGAGCACTGAGGGTACTCACCCCAGGCACTGAGCACTGAGGGTACTCACCCCAGGCACTGAGGGTACTCACCCCAGGCACTGAGTACTGAGGGTACTCACCCCAGGCCCTAAGCACAGAGGGTACTCAGCCAAGGCCCTGAGCACTGAGGGTACTCACCCCAGGCCCTAAGCACAGAGGGTACTCAGCCAAGGCCCTGAGCACTGAGGGTACTCACCCCAGGCACTGAGCACTGAGGGTACTCACCCCAGGCACTGAGCACTGAGGGTACTCACCCCAGGCACTGAGCACTGAGGGTACTCACCCCAGGCACTGAGGGTACTCACCCCAGGAACTGAGTACTGAGGGTACTCAGCCCAGGCCCTAAGCACAGAGGGTACTCAGCCCAGGCCCTGAGCACTGAGGGTACTTAGGCATTTGCATCCTTTATGACTGGTTCTCAGAACTAGCCTGTTTGGAAGGGGCTTATTTCACAAACAGAAACCTCCATTTGAGAGAGAGAGAGTGAAATGAAATGCATCTGCTTCCCCCAGGTAGAACTCCCGGGCCCCCACGTGGATGCTCACGGTTACTCCCAATGTCGTCCACTCTCCTCGTGCACTGTGCATGGCAGAGTTTGCTTCGGGGCAGCTACAGCCCTGGGATGCCCATGAAGGGATCCAATGCCGCCTGTGGGGAGTTGCTCTTCTGGCTTGGTGTGAGTCTGGGTTTAAGTTTCCTCCCCATCAATAAGGAGAGACAGGAGTTTGAATCCAGTACAGCAGCACGGTACCTCTCCACACCTCCGCTCTCAGGATTGCTGTGACTCTCAGTGGAACCAATCTGACTAAGAGCGCTCTGCATACAATAGGTGTTCAGTTACCGGAACCTGGCCCTCTCCGTCTCCAATAGTCTACGGTTGTTAATGATTGCTAGCATTCATGGAACACACATACTACATTCCAAAATCCTAACCTGAAAGAAAGCCTTCAGGGGTTGTGTACTCAAAAAAGGAGAACATGAGGGGTGTGGTGGCCTATTGCTTTTTAACCCCAGCACTTGGTAGGTGGAGGCAGGCAGATTTCTGAGTTCAAGGCCAGCCAGGGCTACATGGGGATACCCTATCGCAAAAATAATAAGGAATAAGAATGGAATCTTTTTATGATTTTTCTTATACTCCTTGTCACTGGTCCTAAATAAACAGTCAAGCCCCGCACCCACGCATATCCGTTCAATTCAGCGCTTTGATCTCATTCGGGAAGATCTCCGGCTGTCCCCCAAGCTGCTCATTGTCCTGTTAGTTGGGACTTGATAAGTGTAATGCCAAGAGGTCATCTTATAGCCCAAGAAGATTATAAAGAAAAGCCTAAAATATCAAAACTTCTCAATTGGAAAATTTCCAGTTTTCCAATTATAATTGCTCAGTTGTGAAAAAGAAACAAACGAAAAGACAAACAAACCTCCCAGATCCACCATAACCCTGAGACTCCAACCTGTCACAGCAGTACTTACTAGGCCAGCGGGCAGTTCGGTGCTGTAACGTCCCTCGGGCTCCGGAACTCCTCCCGTCCACTCTGGGCGCTGGTTGAGGGTGAGGGTTAAGTACGGGCTCTGTTTGAAATGTGAATCAGCAGGAAGTTCTCCACAAGCCTTGGGAAGATTTCACTTTTGTCCCCACACAAATGGGAGCTGACGCTCAGGGGAAGTCCTGGGCTTTCATGCTTCTTGTGGCTTGGCACAGAATTGCACCTGATATTACAGGTATCTGGTGGGGAAGGAAAAAAAAAAGCAAACAAGTTTTAAAAATTCCTGCAAGACCTTGGACCATGGTAACAATGACTTTTATTGAGGACAATGCTAACCTAGCCTTGACCTTCTGCAGGGACTAACACTGTAACAACTCCCTGCTTCCCACCCAGCCCTATCTCAGCAACACATCATCCTTCGGAAGGATTGCTTTGTACCCAGCGAGGAAACAAAAGTTTGGCTTCTCTAACACACTCGTTCCTTCAAGCGGTTTCCAGGAAGATTGGCCCTTTGGTGCATGGTGACACATGGTGGAGCAGCTCCATTGGCGTGGTGAGGGGCTAGGCGTGATGTCGGCATATATGACCTCTTCAAAGCAAGAAGCATACACAAATGGTTGCCATTTGACACGTGCAGTGGTATTGGGCCGCTGCGGTCCTTGCGTGTATCTTAATTCATATTTCCGAAAGTTTTTCTTTTTAAAAAAAATACTTACTAGACTTAGAACTCTTCTGAAATTGTACAATTTTTAAAAATAACTTATTTAACTTTATTTTATGTGTATTGGTGTGAAGGCGTCAGGTCCCCCTGGAACTGGAGTTAGAGGAGAGGGCAGAGTGCTAATGAGCTATCTTGTCACCTTTAGAGATGAAAGCCCAGAGTCTTTATCCTTGTCACCTCACAGAGGTGGCTCAGCTCCTTCCAGCTTTGGCACACACTCACCTTGTCGTCTTTCAGACTTGAGATTTTCTTCTTCATTGGCAAAAGCAGGATGGATAATTCTTTTGCTTTTCCTTTGAGACAAGGTCTCGTTGCTTTTGAGGACAGCTTGGAACTCACTCGGGCAGTCAAGGCTGGTCTTGAACTGAGTCTGAACCCAAGCCTGCTGAGTCTGGGATTATTGGAAGGTGCAGCCACGCCCAGTTTTGGGACAGGTAAATCTGATTTCACAGGTCTTTCCTGAGAAAATAAGACTTCAGATCTAAAGAGCAGCCTGCGCAGTGGGTAGCCTTTGGCCAAAGTTCTTTCCCTGTTGTTTAGATTTTGCACCTGAGGAAGGGTGTGGGTCTTGTTGGTTCCTCATTTGGCCACCCTTTCTGGGCTTCAGGCATCCAGAAACAATTGGTTTGTTCACCTGCCACACAGAACTTGCTTTGCCTGTTCTAGGAGAAACCATTGCTTGAACTGCATTTCCTGACGTACAGTCAGCCTTGAACCTGGAGGCGCTCTCCAGCTCCACAGTGGGTCTTTGTCCAGGCACTTGCCTCTGTTGGAGCCTTCAGTAGTTCCTCAAAAGCTGTGCCGGGTCTCTGCTGGAAACCACAGAGCCACAGACAGTCTGTCACTGATAGCAAGACCAAAGGGAAAGAGGAAGTTACTTTACAATCCGTATTCCTCCATAACAATAAAGCAGGCGACAGACCCGTGAACTTCCATCTCCTGTCTTGTCTGCTTGTCCGCCCACCTACCCCAATGTGTTCCAGGCTTTGCTCTCACTTCCCCAATGACCTTACACAACTTTTCAGGGAAGATGCTTGGCGTATCCCAAGATACGCGTACTGCAGATGCAACCCATAAACCGAAAGCGATGTCCGCTTCTGGCGTCAAATACCAACCTTGTGAGATATCCATAAGCGTGCCAAAAGACGGAAGTGTGATTTTCCTAATTAATCACCGCCAACAACACGGGCGAGGCAATCTCTTTGCAAGTCAGCAACTTCTCTAACGTTCCAGTCAGTTGACTAATTTCATGATGGGACTCTGTCCACGAAGTCACTCTTTAATTTCTTGTTCCTCCTTCACCCAAACGGAGCTGAACAGTGTGCACTGCATGACAACACCTGGTGTTTATTGGGGAGTTTCAATGTGCTTGGAGTATCATCTAATCCCAACAGTTTTGTAGGGTAGGAATGACGAGCTCTTAATTTTTAAAAAGAGGAAACTGTAACTGAGAGATGAAATAGCTTGATAAAGGCCATACAGCCAGGGACAGAAACGAAACTCTGATCTACGCTGGCCATGTGGCTGGCGTGTCTTCGTTTGTCATCTGTGAGACCTGAGTTGGGGCCGGCTACCCTGGGCTCTCATCCTGCTCTGATACTGACTGGCAAGGGTAACCGGGCAGGTTGCCAGCTCCCTGGTCCTAATGATATCATTCCTGTCCTTGTTTAAAGGGCCCCATGTACCCATTCAGGCCACAGTCTGATCTCGCCCTTGGTTCAAAGCCAAGCACTCATCAGTGCACAGACTGACCAGCCACATGTTGCATGCTCATTGCCCGTGTGGATAGGACATACCCATGTCGATGTCACCGGGGAGTGATGACATCAATCGCACTGCAGACAACCTTCACCGCATCTCCTTTTGGGGACAAATAATTAAAAGAAGCAAGGTAAGGAAAGGGATCTACACACAAAGCAACAATGACGAGGGTGTCCCTGCAGACACTGTAAAAATGACACTGGTGCAGAAGCCCATTTCCTATCCCACCTGATTTCCAAGTCACCACGGATTTGTGAAGACAAAGAAACTGGCAATGTGAAGCATTGTTCACAGTTTTATGGGTCCCATGATTGGACTGATGGGCGCTGATGTAGGACTGTTAGTAGCTGCACATGGCAAAAAAAAAAAAATCACAGTGGCCTGCAACTTATTTGTCAAATGCCATGCAGGGTGTCTGGGTGAAGCGGTCCAGAGTCAGTCTGATGACTTGGTGACACTGTGACACTGGATTTGTGGCTTTGATAGTTTTGGCCGCATCTGTCTTTCATATTTATCATGTTTTCACAAGAAAGCATCCAAGCCCCAGGGAAGGAATGGGGGAGGGGGTGAGAGTCCCTGTTAAGTTCTTTTTACATCAGGCAGGAACAGTTTCCCTGCAAGGCTCGAGGAAGACTTCCTGTTATATTTGATTGGACCGGTCGCGTCACCTCAAGGTCAGCCTCAGAACCAAGAGGACACGGAGCCTCCTTGACCTGGACCAATCCTGGCTCTTTTCCTTGTCACCTGAACGAAGTCAGGGCTCAGCCCAGGAAGGCAGGGATGACGGCTGTGCACCATGCCCAGCCCCCTCTCTGGGGAGGACTCCAGAAGCAAAGCCTTCCCTGAGATCTTAGCACTCTGACCGCTGTGACCTTCCACACCGTCCCTCTCTCTAGCTAAACTCCTGGAGTGGAGGGAGGGCAGGGCGTGCCTCCATTCTGAGCTAGCATCTGCTACAAAAGGACCAAGGGGTTCAGTATACTTACAAAAGGGCACTCAAATGGTGACCCACGGAATCAAAGGGGTATAAAGAGGGAAGACTTGGAGAGATAAATGGATAAAGAAAATGAGGAGGGACTCTTTGGGGGCTCCCAGTGAGGTCAGAGACGTCCAAGCTGGCTGGAAGAGGGCTGGTCCTTGGGAAGAACAAGTTTACGTAATCTTAAAAGCAGAGCAGCATGCCCAGGAGGACGGTAGACAGTGAACCAGGCCCTGGATTCACTTGTCACCCCAGAGTAGAGCAGCTGTGATAGTCAGGCAACTGAACTGAGAAGTGTAAAGAAGATCATTGGCGATGAGGAGACCATTGGCGATGAGGAGATCATTGGTGATGAGGAGACCATTGGCGATGAGGAAATCAAGGAACTGAAGGCAAAGGTGCTTCATCCTCCATGTAGGTGTCCAGATATGGACCAACACCCTTTTGAAGCTTCCAAAAAGAGTTTTTTTTTTCTTGTTTGTTTGTTCCCTAATATGGCTGTAATCTGAGCCTAGGTTGTGGCCTATAAAGGTTTTAGAAACAGAAAAACATAATGAAGGTAACGATCTTCCCCCCCTTAAACACAACATACACACACACACACACACACACACACACACACTTTTATATTGTACTCATTTGTAAAAAACAAAGGCACAAATGCCAAAAAGGACTCCTAGATCCACAGAGTGGAGTGCTGAAGTTGTGTATCTTTTTATTTCAAAATGACATTTGGGTCCACATAGGGGCTAGAGGGTGGAGATAGCCAATAAAAGGTGAACCAAGGATTCCAACTCAGGAGACAGCTATGGGAGTGATGCTAGGAGGCTAAGAGGGAAGAGGGAGGGTAGGAGGGGGAGGGAGGGGAAGAGGGAGGAGGAGTGCTAGGAGGCAGGAGGAGGAGGGATGCTAAGAGGCTTCTTCCTTTTGCTCCCTTCCTTTCTCTTATCCTAAATCTTCATATTATCACTGTGGCTGGCCCTGAGCTGTGGGGTCTTAGTAGGTGAGGAACGGGACAGTGAGGTTTACAGTATAGGAGGCAGAGGGAGAGACGGGAGGAAGACCCCAGGAGTAGTGGTCCCCACACAGACACTCCCTTCCCACTGCCCATTACATTTCCAGGGTGTGAAATGACTTCTGGCCCCTGTGAGTCAATGATGGGGCTTTCCTGCTGCTTGGGGTGTGAGTGGCCCAATTTTCAACTTCAAACATGACAAAACTGGCATCTTTCACATCCAGATCCCACATAAGAGAAAGTAGGCTGTCTATAAATTTATGTGAATCATAAGATCAAGGAATCAGACAAACTCCATATAATCAGATTATCACCCAATTGACATTGTGCTTTTGTTCTTGTCTTTTTGTATTGGGGAACGTGGTTTTTTTTTTTTTTCTTCAGTGTTTTAATCTCTTTCACGGTCTGTTCTAGCCTGCTTTCTGTTGCTGGGATTAACACTTCAAAGCAAATTGGGGTGGGGGGGAGTCATTTCAGTGCACAAGCCATTCTTGAGGGAAGAGTAGACAGGAAGTCAAGCAGCATCTGAAGTAGAAGCCACAGAGGAATGCCACCCACTGTCTTGGTGACAAGGTTAAATTCAACGACCTTTCTTATGTAATAGCTCAGGCCACCTGCCTGGGGATGGTGCCGCCTATAGTGGGCTGGACCCTCCTCCTCCTCCATCAATGTAGCCATCAAGAAAATGTCCACAGGCCAATCTGACGGAGGCAGTTTCTCACTTAAGGGTCCCTCTTCCCAGTGTGTCAGGTTGACAAGCAAAACCAGCCATCAAAATCTCCTATTTCAGTTCATTACATTAAGAAAAGAAGGAACGCTGGATTTCATGCCTTTACGGGTATGAATTGGCTATCGGGTCCTGGGGGAACAGAGGAACAAATTAGAGATACAACTTGGTATTGGTGAATACGAGAGATAGAGCCTGTGTGGAAATAACCAGTGTGTTCGTCGGGATCACCCGGCTCAGAGTGGACTCGGGAGAGAGTTACTAATGGGTATTTATGGAGATGACAGTTGGGTCAAGGGATCTAGTCAGGCATGGTGAAACGCCCGGGCCCACTGGCTGCAAGCCTTTCCCATACTAGGCCTGGCAGAGTCAGAGAGAGGGAAGGGTAACTAGACTGTGAGGAGATGTCTAGCTGTGGGAGGGGTGCCACACTCCTGCAGCCGAGGCTCTGCCAGGGTCCAGCCCAGCGTCACAGTCAAAACCGAGGGTAGAACGGAGAAAGTAGGGGTAGGTGGGAGTGGGGAGGGGCGGGGAGAGGTCAGCAAAGGAGTGGGCACCTGGGGAAGAGCCAGCCGCGTGACGTCAGACAGAAGCCACGTTGAGGGAGGTCAGCCACGTCCTCTGCCATCACAAGGGTGGCTAAGATGCACCACCCGGGTTTGGCAGGATGAAGGTCCCTGGGGCTTTAGAAGGACCGTCAGTGAAGGGTGCTGACATGGAAGTCTGACTGGAGTGGATCCAGGAGAAGACTCATCCACCTTCCGAGAGCCACGGGGGAGCAGGGAGGAGTAAAGGATAGCGGGGCTGTTCTGGAGGGTCACGTGAAGAGGTCTAGAGGGGGGGGGCATGACCCGGGAAGGCAAGTGCTGGAGATTCTCCATCCAGGAGTGAGAGCCGGGTGTGTGTACATGGCTGCAGTCTGTCAACGCCCCTCTCACCACCATTCCCGGAACGCTGGCGGGCTTTCTTGCTGTTTCTCTCACAGGCCTGGTGGGAGCTGCCACA